CATTATTTCTTATATACCAGGTAGAGAAAAGCTTGCACAGGAAATTGGGGAAATGAAAATAAGTTATTGCACTTCGTATGATTCTAAATAAAATTTCATTATAACATATTTTTGTTTATATCTTCGTCTATTACATGAGGCCAACTTATAGTAAACTGATAGTTTAAATTCATTAGAAGAAAAAATGAAAGAAACATTTTTATTGATTGATATTGCTTTATTTTAACATTTGAGCAACTTGTATAACATTAACAACTAAAACAAAGTACCAGCAATGAAAATATGTCAATATTGTTACACCCAACATTGATTAAAGCAATGCAAAAATACATGAATGTGGCAAAAATGGTTAGTTTTTATTTGATGTGGTGATTATTTTATACCATACTTTAGACAGTTAGCCAATGAACACTAAATTCTCTTTTAAAACTTGGAGCACTCTTCAATTTCACCCAAAAAATTTACAAATTTTACAAATTTACCTGCGTTCCAGTATCAGTTCATATTTGCATCTGGATGAATTAATCTTTAATTAATAGCACTTTTGTCTACAAACCATGCCATGTGTGCAAAAACTTGCATATTAAACTAAAAACAATGTACTTTTTTGAGTGCATACACCTTTCTTTTGGTGGTTCAAACCTAAGATAATATGACAAATTTAAGTGCACTGATTACCAATTAATGTTATCATAAGCAACAGCCAGCACAGCTCAAAAATATTTTTTATCCCTTAAAAGTTCGTCAAAAGTTGTGATGGTGCCCATAGACACACAGCATTTTGAGATGAAAGGCACTTCTGTTATATTAATTGCAGATCAAGGAATGGCAAAATGGTTATTTCTGGTCTCAGTCATGTTGAACAAGCCTAGAAAAATAGAATTTTTAATAGTTATACATAAAAAACCTTACACACAAACATTCCCTAAAATCTTAACAAATAATAAATCACACCCTCTGTTATAGGGAAACTGGTAACTGCAGATTATGTATTAAGGTACTTGAAAGCTTGACTGAAATTATACCCAAAACCATCGATGGTTACCTCTTGTGCACTGTAGTTTAATGTTAGTGGTGGTAAGAAAACAGAGCCTTGTGCCTCATCAAGTTGCTGCTGGAAACAATCATTTTGACTGTTCAATTATGGCTACATCTACCAGCAAAATTANTCATAATGGTGTTACGAACCTGTTCATTTTTAATCGGTCTTTATATGGGAGGCTCAAGATGTCAGGTTAGCACCTCATTTCAAATTTTGACTTTTCAAAGGCCATGCCTCATGTGAATACAGGAATATTGAGAGAATTATCGACCTTAATTTTAAGAGTATATGAATATCCCTGGTTATGGATACAAGGTATATGAACATGGCTCCAAGGTATATGAATATCTCTGGATGATGAATCAAAGTTAAAGCCTGATAGCTCTGGCAAAGCTGATACCCATTTAAAAGCCATAACTGGGTCCATAACCTTGTTCATACTTCTGTCTACCAGATTTTATAACATATCATTGTCATTGTATGTCAGCCACAGCGTCACTGCCGTATGTAATCAGCTAATGCCTGTAGATTTACCATTCTTCATAGATTTTAGTGCTTGTTCTACTCCTGCACACGTGAGTGGAATGTTTCCCTTTTTGGGTTAGCTTATCCGGATCACCACCAAAACCTATTTGTAATCACTCTTCTGACATATCCTATAAATTTCATCAAAATCCATCCATGACTTTTTGAGTCAAGCGGGTGCAACAATATAATACGGTCATGTACGAATACCCCACGGATAGAAGTATATCATGTCGTCAACGTATTTTACAAAACTGAATATTTCAGTATTTGAATCCCACCATGAGTAAGCCAGGGAGCCCGATTACAACCCACGGACCGGACTTTGATATTCTCGTGGACGAGCTGGAAAATATTGAGAACGAAAATTTTACCGACGAGAATGTGGATGTCAAATACTATCTTGGTAAGTCAAGTTGTTGCATGATCCAGTGTCAGCTCGTCAAATTATTTTTGCGTTATACATGTATATGCCTTATTTATCGCACTATATACAAAAATTTAATAATTTTGATAGAGAGGACCTTGTTAAACAGGAAGTTTTAAGCTTTAATCGACTAATGATGTGTAAAAACCCTTGTGCCATTGGTCTGATACAGTTTACACTTCTTATGCCTTGGTCAAGGCTGTGCCGCTCTAGCGGACTAAAGTCCGTATGAGTACAGTATCAACTTTGAGTGGACGAAGCCACTTTTTGGTGCATGGATTGAACGTATAAGCAGCGTGCAAATAGGGTATGAACAGAGCATTTGCACCGTATAAAAGGTGTGCTGAAGATGTGGAAAAAGATCTTCGTACAAACCACAAGTGATATAACGCAGTTTTTCATACACCAAACACGCGAAAGGTAAACGTTAAGGACATTATTACCCTTTGCCAAAAACTACAAAGGGGATGGAGCAACCATCTTTGAGCCCTGTTATCAACCGTACTGAGCATCTTTGAAATGAATTGAAGTGCGCAATCCAGATGACCACCAAACGCCAAAAAGGCTGGACCAATTCCGCCAACCTTTTGAGGAATCATGAGGCAATATTTCACAAAGCAGAAGGCAGGCCGCGCCACCTACAGGAGAAGATTACCGAACGTGGTAGCCACACACGCTTTTAGACACGTGACCTTTAACTAGCACACCCTAATGATAAATGTGTGTAAATTTAGTGACATTTGGTGAGCTTCGTATGATCAGTTTTCAAGCTACAAATCGATTTTCCCGACCTGACTTCAAAACCATGAGCCTCGGAGTACAAGAACCAATTACATGTATAAAGGTAAAGTTTATTAGCAGTAAACGGTAGACTTATAGCGTTACATGTGTTTCAATTTTTCTTTTTTTTTAGGTATGGACTTTCTGATGAATGACGACCCGAAGTACAACCCCCCTATTTACGACCCGGTCGAGGAGCTACGTCCAGCTAAAACACATTTGACTCCAACTTTCGACAACGTATCTTTTCTTTAAAATCATTCTTTATTCTTTTAAATACAAAAAATATATCCCCAGAGACCCAAGAAACCGTATATGTCTACTGTTGCTACTTAGTTTTTGACAGTTAACATACAAGTGCATTACATATAATTTCAAGTAGAAAGCCAATAGTTTTGAAATAATCTTTATATCCGGTATTTTACTACTAAAAACCATAAACAACATTTAATAGTTATTGATATGTATACCTGAAAACCGACTTCGAAGCAAAATGCTGATACATGAAAAGATGAAAATAAGTGATATTGATCAATTATATTCTATTAAGTAAAGCGTGAGCTTTTTCATCTTCTTCCATATTCTCATTGGTACAATAATTAATCACTTCTCAAACACGAAAATTATATAAAAACTGGTTATCTTCCTTAACGATCATAAAGATAACGTTTGCGTTCCCTCCTGTGCCCCTCATGACACAACCAGATGACATTGATACCGCCTGGTTTTGTAACCACTCTACAGTTAATACCACCAACTGCGGTGACGATTTCTGCCAGTGCACACATATGGTGGAATTCAAGCTTAATCAGGTAAACAATATTCATTAAAATCGGTATTTGATTAACACTGTAAACCTCGTCTCTTTCTTTTTTGCAATTATCACTTACAAAAATTGCACGCGGTTTATTATTATATTTTTACTATCCTTTAGTTTCCTCCACTAATTCATGCCATTATTATTATTATTATTATTTACCCTTTATTTGGTTTATTAATGTAAGGGACGTAATTGAAATGGGTTATTATTTCTCCAATTTGTAAGGTCGTGGAAATGTTCCTCATCAACGAGGGTAGACGGCTCCCAGTTGAGCATGTGCTTCATCTGCACGGTGCATATTTTCGTGTGCTTGGCGTTGGAAAGGTTTGTGGGAATTTTCTTACTTGTCTGAGAATAGGTTATCAGCACTGCGTAAACACAGTAATGGTAAATGGATATAAATATGTTAAAATTTGTAAAATTTTAATGAAGCCTAAAAAATGACAAGTTGCCAATACACTGGTGACAAACTGACAACGAAAATGCATTTAAATTTCAAATTCTAGCTCGGAAGTTCTACTTCGGTTGAAGAAATAAAGAAACTGCACGAGGAGGGCAATCTAAGATATAACCTTATAAGTCCTAGCTACCGTGACACAGTAAACGTACCTGACGGAGGATATGTCATCATACGATTCAGAACCGACAATCCAGGTAAGGGTTGAATGTTGACATTCGAAATGAAAATAAACATTATTTGTATCGCATACAAAATGTTTTTGAAGTATTGATTGAAACCCGCATAAACCCGCACATCCCTAGATATGTGAATTCGTTCAATTTGCAGTTAACGTAAGTCCTGACGCACCCATTGCTAACGTTAATTTTTTAATTATAATTCATTGTGACCATTTTCGCTAATTCAGATATGCACTCAAAATAGCACCAAAGAATAACCGAACATCAAGTTGGGATAGGGTTTGGTTTTTAAAGATAAGGTTACTACTTTTATGTATGTATCTAATAATATTTATTTCCATGTAGGTGTTTGGCTCTTCCACTGCCATTTTAATCTTCACGTGAGCATGGGTCAAGCCATGTTGCTGAAATTTGGCGATTTTGCAGAGTATCCATCGATTCCAGCAAACTTTCCTCGATGTGGAAGTTGGGGCGGACATGTGTTCAAAGATGCAACTCACAGGGACCAATGTCCTCAACAACCTGTGCAGGAGTGTAAAGAACCAACCGCGACCGGAAATCGTAGCCTGCCACCATTTTCTTTGTTTCAGCTGATCATTATCGTCCTACATCTCTATTGGATAAAGACTGGATTGTTGTAGAACGCATCCTACTCGGTTATACTGATCAAACGTTCTCTTGCATTTCTTTCATTTTAAGTGCTCCAATAGTGAAATGTCATTGAAGACAAAGCTATTAACTGTTAGCCCTGTACCCAAAGCGTTATTAATAATTTGTGGATCCTTATTAATATATAGGGTGCCCAAATTATAACGCCCCCTTCTGTAACGTGGCACATGTGAAAGACTATCTGCACATACTTATGTTATACAATATAATAAAAATTTTCTTGCTTTTGGCACAAGGGGGTGTAGATTCTTTTAGTTTTTATTGTCTTGATGAGGACATCATCATCATGTACATATAGTTAACTTCACTGGTTACTTGTAAATGCATGGATTTTTCAAACTTTTAATATATGTGTATGCTCATGCCCTTTTTTTATGGAATTGCCTCAGATTGTCTTTGTAATCTTGTACATGTATCACATTACATTTATTTAAACCTCAATGTGCAAGACCTTAATCATTTGGAGAAAAAATCTCTTGAATACGCAGCTCATATAATTGGGCATTTTCCCTTGTCTCTTTATACAGAAAATTACAATTGGAGATTTTGTATGCATGGAAATTAAATGTTATTTTTGTAGTTTACTTCTATATGTCCTATACCTTTAATGTTATGGTTTAGAGCTAGCATGTACATCTAATGTAGCATGTACACCTGAAAAACTGAATATAGCCAGACCGCACCAATTCCAAACATCCCAAAGATATACGTTATATAATAAAGTAAATAATAGGCAAACATTCCCTCTTGCTCGATACACTGCAGCATCAAGTATCAAAATATGATATATTCTGTATATGTTACTATGAAAGCTGAATCTACAAATAAATATTAGTGTAAGTTTCTAGTAGGTGACTTTTAAGGAAATCCGTCTGACTTAACAGCACGTGATATGTGGGTATATGTACAGTCCGTACCCACTACTTAGCAGTAATAGCAGTAACATCAGTAGGGATACATCCTATTTCTCACAACTATTTAAGAAGCACAGAAGAAAGGCTGAATCAGAGAAAAACACAGTTTTGCCTTATCACCGTGTTCTAAATCCTTTCAGAATGTATGTGTAAAGAAATCATTTGATATGAAAGAATAAAGCACCATATTTAACCGGACTCTGGACTCGTGTTGATCAATCATATATAACCATCGCGAACAACACAACAAAACAGTGGTAATAATTTTCTCTACTATAAATACAATGTACATGTAGCAAAACTTTTTAATACAAATCAAACCTTTTAACTTTGTATTTTATTTGTTTTTGTATTATATTTCATCTGTAAGGTGTTCAGAACGTATTTTTATGGATTTTAGACTCCAAACAAATGTATAATTGTTATTACGGAAGAGACTGCGGAGAGAGACTGCACTGTTGATTTATATTGAGCGTCACAAGCAAGTAACGAACGATACACTGTAAAGGGATTCGAGAAATTTTGTTGATAGGTATTGAATTATTATTAAATTATTTTTAACAAGCTATATTTTCAGAGATAAATGGGTCTAACAAATGTGTTACTATTCAATCATATCTTACAAGGCCAATCCCAATTAAATTTTAAAGAATTATTTGTACAATAAGGCTCCCATCACAAACAATCGCCATAGAAACCGGCAGATACAGAAAAAATATCTATTGCACAAAGAAAATATTTGGATTGAAACGCTGCAGAGGATGGGTTCCATTTTATATGTGGGTGCCTTAGATATGCAGTTCTCGAAGGAAGCTCATCAAACCATTTTATGTACCATAAAATAAAACCATTTTCCGTTTTCTATTTGTTTCTGTTGAATTCTTCCAATTAAGATAACACAATGCATCATTGCACGGTACATTGGCCTAGCTGGAAGGCTTCAGCAGGGGACCCTATCTGATTTCCATGTGACCAATCGGTTGATCTAAGTAATGTAATATAATATCTCTGCAATGACCATAAATAATTTCCAAAGTAATAAAATGTTATTATTATTATTATTATTATTATTATTATAATTGTAGTAGTAGGCACTTGTTAATAAACTGATTGATGAACAGTAAGATGTGCATGTACCTGTATATTTGTTCAACTGTTGACCAATCTTGCACCTGTAATTGTTAAAAGGAAATTATCTTTTAGAAAATGAACAATTCAACTTCTAAAAGAAAATCCCCTTTTAGCAATTACGGGTTCATCCCCCGATTTTACATCATTGACTATCTCAGTATAGATAACGTTGATTAATTTACCTTGTTCATCCGATTTCCAGATCTCAATTAACGATTTGCTTGAGAATAAACCATTTTTGTTTGCCTATTTTTTTCTTTCAGATGATATTTTGTATAGACTCAAGCACACCAGATTCGTCTGACCTAGTTCTGTAACGAGGCTTAGACGTTTTGCTCCTGTGGTTCAAAACGAAACTTCTACATGTAGAACTACAAAAGCGAAAATGAGGTTAAGTTTGTTTTACATGAGTCAAAGCTTACACGGTTAATTTTTAAGAACAACCAACTACTGTTAGACTTAGACTACCTGATAAACCTCAGTCCAAAGTCCCCATATTTTGCTCATGTTGTTAGGTAATACACCTCATTTTCTACCCCAAATCTCACAGTAAATGCAGGCTTTCTCGATTTCAGATGTGTTGGATGGCTTTGTGCGTCTAACAGTTTCCATTCTTAACAAACGGTTGCCAAAACTCTTGTCAGAGAAATATATTTTTCAATGTCATCATGGTATCCAGATAACCTTTTCAAAATGCTTTTTAGTAGTTTATGCTTTTGGAAAGGTGGATATTGGGCTTACTACATGATGTGACAGTAAAGATGCATTTCTTTGTGCACATTTGTTTTTAACCCCATAAGGCCGCACGTTCTTTCTTAAAGGTCCCTAGGGCCGGTTACCGCACATATGCGCACAAACAGAGTCCAAATGCATATTTATTCACACATCCAAGTCTTGTACAAAAAAAGTAAAAAAAACTAGTACTACAAAGGCAATAATAAATGAGATCAAAAACAGGTTTTCACGACAAGTCCCATTGCAAAAATCATGCCAAGCAAGGCTTTTAGTTCATCTAAGGTTAGTTCTGTCCATGCACACTTGTGTTGATCGGGCGCTCTTGTTCTCTCCTGAGTCGCATACAGGTTGGTCTGAGTGCATATCAGCAGCAGAAGGGTGTCGGTAAAAATAAACTAAAAAGTGTACCAGGCGTAACTGACTGCATGTTTTCTTGGTCAATAGCACCTGGGAACAGACCAGGCTTCCCTCTAAATCTGATATTAGCATCCTTTCTGTTAGTGATATCCTCACTCCACGCTTCTTGTTCAGGTGCGTCTACATGAACCTCACAGTCTGTTCGATATAGTCTGAGAAGGAAGCGGCGTCTATTTCAGGCTCTGCATCAGAGTCATATATCTCCGGCACACTGATCTAGCTATCGGCATGCCTTCATCATATTCTTCACTTTCTGTATCACTAAACATTTCTTCATCACAATCAGAGTTTTCAAGTAATTCTAAAACATTCTCCACTGCCATACGTCTCTTTCTACTGCGCTCAGCCATTTTAAATTCACCTGGTGACAGCGGTTTTTTTACAGGGTGTGATAAAATCACGATTTCTGGCGATTAACAATCTCAAAGGAGGAACAATTATGACTGAACTGACAGCCATACAACCAGGTGCTTTTAAAGCGTCTTCTTTGAATGTCAGGTAACAATCGGTGACATAACAAGCACGAAAAGTTATAACCGCATATGTGCGGTAACCGGCCCTAGGGACCTTTAAGAAAGAACCGCACATGAGCGGTTACCGACCTTATGGGGTTAAGTTCAGCTGGGCTGCTGTAAGCTTTTCTGACCTAGTAATGGATCACGAATTACGCATGACTTAATGCTATATGTCGGAGGCTTTATATTTCTAACAAAGCCAGTAAAAGCAATACTAACACATAAACTGGTTAAGGCCGTCCTTCACACATTCCGCAACGAAGGTAGTTTGGGTGTTAACAAACATTATGGGCGGTGAAAAGTTTACTGCACAGCGTTTGGTGTTCCTGCTTGTTAGCATTATCGTATTTTCAGCGGTCCAAGCGGGTAAGTTATATCTAAATGTAAGTTAAAATACTTCTAAATGTAAATGTGCCATGTGTAGTATAAAATTATGAAAATTAAGGCAGTTTTAAAAAGCCATTATTATAATGCTTTCTTGTGGCAAATCAGCTATATTACAAAAGCCATGTGTGTGCTTTCCGCGGCATATAGACGCGTGAATTGTTTTTTTATGTAGAACACATAAGATTCTACTGTAAAACACTAAAAATCGTATCGTACAATCGTATCGTACAATGTACCTATAGCGATGTTTTTATCATGGGTTTCGCACATGACCCCACAAATTCTAGATATAATTTGGTTTTATTGGCATGGATTTCAGTGGTGGATCTAGAGGGGGGGCAGGGGGTCCTGACCCCCCACCCCCCCCCCCCCCCCCCGCACACACACACACA